CTCCCCCACCACATGACTTTTAGGGCAGATTCTTGCCTGTAGCTTCCTCTTGTGGCATCTGAGTGCAAAGCCCTTCCCTCAGAATGTTGCACTCCTCCTTCCAACTAAAATAGGTGCCTTTCATTCTTCCAATCATTGTCCTCCCCCCCCCCCAATCCCAGGGCAGGCGGCTCATACCCAGCAGCCTAATCGCCTGTCATATGTGCCTCGGTGGCCATGTGTGCCGCTGCAGACCCCGTCTCTCTGCCCTCTCTCGCACCGTCACCCGCAGTATGGCACGAGGCAACTCAGCATCCCGGTCCAGTCCTCCCAGGCCAGTTGTCCTGGCCACTGCTGAGAGCTGTGTCTCAGCCAGGCCTGTGCATCTCTTCAGGGCCAGGAACTCCCCTAGCAGCCTGAAAAAGCCTTTGAACCCCCTCTCGGAATAACGCCTTCGGGTGTGTGACACAGAATACACGGGAGAACATCTGAAGCCAATTATATGAAAATACAAGCTATCAACTATCTGAAGCGGAATTGGTGATAGAATCCTGTTTGCTAGTTTATTAAACAATATCCCTTCACGGACTCTAGATCTGTGTGAGAATGCCTGTGATTTCCTTCACTGATGGAGAAAACCCTCACGCACTGATGAAAGGAGGGTTGCTGGCCTACACTCACACCAGAGGACCAACTCTGTTAGAAGTCAGCAAAAATGAAGGCGGAATTTCCCCCCCACCCACAGTGAACAGATCCCCTGACACGGGCTTCGTGGAGTCCGCCTTAAGAACCCTGCTTGAAACACGGAGGCCGAGGGAACTGAGAGGGACGATAAAAATCATCTGGACCAAAACGCTGGGCCCAGGCCTAGAGAAGCGACGTGGGTGACTCTCCGGAAGGGTCTCAAACACACTAAGTCCATAACAGACTCTCGACACACGTTCCCTGAGCTGAACGAAGTGACACAGCTAAGGAGCGACAGAGCAGAGCCTGACCCCTGTGCCAGGACGCCTCAGTGAGTGCTCCTGGGATGACGTCGGCAGAAGCGACAGCTGCCTTTCTAACAACGCCGCCGCCGCCGGTGCAGCCATCCCTCTCCCTGTGCACGCTTCCTGGGAAGTTCCAGGGAACCGTACTCCCCGCCTCCATCACTCCCCCGAAAGGCAGCTCTCCTCTCCGACAGACGTCTCCAGTGCCACGTCACCTTCCCGTTCCCGTGGGCCTCTCCTAAGTCAACTGCAGATATTTTGACAACTGTAACTAATGTCCCAGCACCCAGACATCAGGCTGGGTTCCCTGGCAGGGCTCCCATTACTCCTGACAATTTCTGCTCAGAAGTTAGCAACTCTTTTCCCTGTTCAGTTTTTTTTGCTTGTTTGTTTGTTTTTTACAACAATGTTCACTACATTGACTTCAGGCTTGTCCCCATCACATTCTCTTTTCATCTCGGTCACCCCCGATGATCAGTCTTTGCTTGTCCTCACCGTGCCCGGTGCTGGCGCTATCCCTCTGTGTGCGGGGAATCTACTGCACCCCGGTTCTGCAGCTCTCGTGTGCAGACAACCTGAAGTTCTCCTGTCTGAAAGGACCATTGCTCTAGAAATCCCCAATTTAAAGTTTTCTTTAAAGCATTTCTCCAAACAGATGGCGTTTTTCATCCGTGCCCCAGCCCGTGGCCTCCACGCCACCCCTGGGATCTGGGAGGTGTATCTACACCGCCTCTTGTGCACAGGTTAGCTTCGACACTCAGCCAGCACCCACATACACCTGCAGGTACACACCATCCCAGCAGAGGGGGAACTACGGCTCTCTTCTACCTGCTGTTTGATACAGGGAGGACTCACCACCTGCCCCAGCTAAAGCTCCTTTACCTCCCCGCACTGTCCCAAGACTCTGTTCTTGCAGCTCTCTGGACTGGTCCTGTGGAACATGGTCTCAGCAGCCCCCTGAGGGTACTGGCCACCCGACACGTGGCTGGTCCAAACGGAGATGTGCTACAAGTGCCAACTCAACCCTGGATTTTGAAGCCTTCGTATGAAAAGAGATAGGAAAGCTCCCACTAAAAATGTGGATATTAATATTGAAATAATCATTTGTTGGACATACTGGGTTGAATAAGATGTATTATTAAACTTAATTTTCCCTTTGTGAAGTGGCTAATAAAAAACGTCTTCATCACATACAAGGCTTGCATTATGCTTTTAGTGCCAGCACAACTTTGGGCTGCTCTGTGATTCTTCCTTAATCTTCCTCACCAGCTCAAAATTCTCTCCTTTTCACTCTTCCTGCTAAAAGTCTTACCCCGATCAGCTCCACAGCTCCCCACACTCCAAACCTAAATTCTTTTCATTCTACCACTCTCAGTACCTTTCAAACCCATTATTTCTGTACACAGGACTTCTTTCCATTCACTAATGCAGCCTCTAACCCTGTAAAATAAATCATAATGAAGTTCTGCTTTTTTCTTCATCAATTCTCATAGAAAGGGGTATCTATCAACTCTCAAAAAAAAAAAAAAAAAAGACCCTGTAATTCCCTGTGAAAAGAGCTACACTTACCATTTCCCAAATTGGCCTTTCTTTGCTCTAATTCATTTGGAGGGGCTAGTAATTTTACGACACTAAACAAACATAAATGATTAATAATTCGGACCAATGTCACCCACGCACTGCCATTTTAAAGATCGAATTCTTCCTCCACACTCCTCTAACGTTGAGGTTTCCATTGCCTCATTCTCAGCAGAGAACTCTCTTATTCCATCTCAAATACTCAAATACAGTTGCAAAAGGAGGAGTATTTGTTTCCCACCATTTTCAGCGTGGGCTACATGTCATCACCCCTCAGTGGACTTTATGTTTAATATTCCTGGGTCTGCAGTGGGATGTGGACGGAGCGGCTCGGGGAGGCAGACTTGGTGCTGAAGGAGACCGGGAGCGCCAAGCATGGGTCAGAGTCCCCACCGTCATCTTCTGCTACAATCCTCCCTGGGTATCTCTTCCCAGCAGGAGTGGTGACCTCCGGTCCCGCCCTTTCTCAAAATTCTCCCTCTGTTAGCTCTCCTTCCCTACATCCTACGCAGAGATCCTTACCTGCACTCCAAGAACAACACAGGTCTCCTTTTGCTTCCAACATTTTCTGCAGATGATGATCTCACCTTCATCATTTCATTGACATTCCAGTTTCCCATCACTCCCAGTATTGAAAAACCTTTAAAGAAAACTACTCCCAGCATGGCAACTTTTCCCCGTTGCCCTGGAATTCCTATTTACCTCCCTCTCAATGCTCTAAAGACAGAACCAACACCCCGCCCAGTGATACTCTGTCCTGGACCACAAGCCCCCTTCCAATAGGCACGCTCCCTCCTTCCTATCCTCGGTAGATGGCTCATCCTTTGGTCCTTTCCTCTCCTCTGCTCTCTTCTGGGTTTCCCTCTGTTGATTCCTGTCGGTCCTAGCCAATATTCCCATTTGCTACAGAAAAGTGCCCTCATTACACACGTGAATCAAAACAAGAACTGAGGGGACCCAAAGGGGTAGGGCCAGTCGCTTGTTCTCCCATGGTGTGGGCACGCCCCCTCAGTTCCCCTCCCTGGAGAGGTCTCCCCCCTCTTCACTCCCTGCAGCTCCTCTCTCTCCCGGCTGTGTCTGCTTCTATCTCCAGATCCTATTGCCTCCAGAGCCAGCTCCTTGTTCTCTTTTCTGCTTAGGACCACCCAGTGCCAATCCTTCCGTCTTAAGATCAGCCTCGCAGCTTCCACATTGGCCCTCTTCCTGGCCCTTTTAGCTGGTGGACATCTCCCCTACCTTCCAGTTGCTGCTCTGTTTCTTATGAGACTCCTTAGGAGATGCTGTTCTGACTCCAGCCACCGGATCCGCCCCGTCCAACCAGGTACAAGCAAGAAAGCAACTGCTGGCCCTCCCTCCCCTGCGGCCAGAATGTCCAAGGCTAACACGGGAAAGGAGGAAAGGCTCCTGGGAGCCCCTGGGGTCTGGGAGAGTGACTTGTGCTATGGACAGTGTCAGAAAGCGCCCAGAAGCCTATGGCCAGGAATTTGTCTTTCCTGGCAAAGGACAAAAGGACTCTCTTCCTCCTTGCCAGCCCCCAGGCCTCCGGGGTCATTGCACCTGCTAAGCTGGGTGCAACAAACGGTGCGCAGAGGTGGATTCATCCCGATGCTAAATAAGTTTAAGCCCCACAGCCCCACACTCACACGTGGCCCCTGTTTTTCTTCAATAGGGTCCACTATATTTTGTAAGCTTTCAATTTCAGGACGCTTGGATCTCCCTGAATAGGAGACAGCTTTTCTGGCGTGGAGTGATCTGAGTGAAGCGATTCTGAACGGAGTTGGGTTTATCACACCTGCCCCCCCCGGGAAGGGGGAGGACACTGCCCCACGGAGCACCCAGGGCTCTGGAATTATCCCTGAGCTGAATCTTGGCTGAATTCTAACTCCAGGTCTACGGGCCACGCCCAACTCAGCGCACCCGTTTAACCTCCTACTTGGTTCTTCGAGGCTGGGCTCTAAAGCTGCCAGTTCAGAAGTGACCTCTTACTACTAAGGCAAAGCCACCGCCGCCACTTGCGGAGCCCATCCCACTCCTTTGGGGTCAATACAATCTTCTCAGAAGGCGGAACGTGCCCTCTGCTAACCGAGCTGACAGCTGCCCCCACACCCCCTCACCCTAGGGGTCCCAGCCTTGCACCTGCTCTCCTGGTAGAGGAGGGAAATGAAGGAATTCGGGAAAGGAGACGGAGCCGAGGCTCGAGGGCCGGGAGGCTCGGGTGCCGGGAAGTCTTTGAGGCTCCCGGCGCTCCAGGGACAGCGCAGGGTTGGGGCTCGCGGTGGGGTGGGGGGTGTCTAGAGACGCGGTGTTCGGAACTGAACTGGAGTCGGCCCGGCAGGCCCCGCACGAGGGCTGGGGGTGCGGGACTCCAGGGCTCCAGGCAGACGCAGGTTCCCGTCTGGGATTTCCAGGTGAACGCGCCTCCCGCTTGGCGCCCCGGTCGGCCCCAGCACTTACCCGGCAGACTCGGGAAAGTCTCTGAGAAGTGCGGAGGCGGGGGCGGCGGGGCTTCTGCCACTTCTCCCGGGCCGGCAGCAGCTCCTCGGCTTCCAGCCCGCCCTCCGGGCGTCGGCCGCCCGCCTCGGGGTTGTTCCGGGAGGCAGTGGCGGCGGCGGCAGCGGCGGCGAGCTCCGGGGGCCCGTAGAAGGCGTCGGGCGGCTCCG